CGGTGCAGTTCTTAAGGTAGGCGATAGAAAGAGAAGAATACAATGAAGAGGGTGGTGTGTGTGTGTGTGTGTGTGTGTGTGTGTGTGTGTACCACTGCCCACTGTGCAGGATGCATTTAGGACCTCTCAGCTGTGTATCATAGGCCCTATACTGCTAACAGCTGAAAGATTCCCTTTATCCTTACACTACGGTATTCTACAGTAATGATCCAAAACGCTACCCTACAGCAATGTACTGTAGTGATCTGTGCAATCACTGTACCATTACTACAATATTGTTTTTTTTGCAGGATTAGCTCCAGGGGCAGGGACCTGTTTTTGGGGACAGGAGCATCAGCGTTCCACCCCATGCTGCCCTCCTGCTGTGGCGCATAGGGACAATTATGTGGGGCTGCAGTTATTTTTGGGAGTTGGCTGAAAAGGTAGAAGATCACCTTCTGTGTTGAAAGGTAAGAGTCTCAGTAGTTGGTGAGAGTGCGGGGCAGAGCTGCAGGCTGCAATTAACAGCAAGCTCTGGTTTCAGGTTAGCTGTTTTAATAAAGCAAAAGTCAGATAATTTAATCACTAAATGTAAGGTCTCTTTGCTTTGATTAGAAGAATGATGCCACATCTGTGAAGTTCCTTTAAGACCAGGAATTTCTTGTGGTAGAGCTCTTTGGCTTGTTCTGCATTTCTGTCATCTTTTCCTCATGTGTGGTGTTCAATGTGCTCCATGTTTATTTGACTTGTAAAATAGGCTGGAAACTTAAACTGATTTCAGATGGAGACAAATGCATTTTGATGTCAGCAAGGAAAGCCAGAGGAGAAAAGGTCTCTCTTTAGTCACCTGGCAGAAGGATTTTATATCTGCATCTTTGCTTAAGGCAACCTCTTGCATTTAATTTATTTTACATTGACACGAGGTAGATTTTTTACAGAGATTCATTTAAATTATACAAAGGGATACTGGGTTACTCTTATCACTCACACTTGCTTGACCTATTTTTTTTTTTTAAATCCCTTCTTGGAAACCTCATTTCATGTTTGAATTCCCTCAACTATTTTAGGAATGTCAGCCTACCAAGATCAAATTACCTTTGATGAAACACATGCAAAGTAGCCTTACAGGGCAAGGAACTTTTTGATTAAGTACCTGTGCTATCTCATTAATATAGACTTAGTTTAGAACTAGGGCTGCAACTCTGCCATGGCAAATATGTGTGAAAACCATAGATTAGTCATGGTAAAAGTACCAAAGGCCAGACATTTTGTGGTGGTTAATCACCCTTGCTCATGGGATCAGTCTACCTTTAAATGTAATTTCTTTTATAGCGGTATGTGGGGGTTTTTTTTTTGGTAGGGCTTGTTTGTGGACCAAATTCGGTCCTGATGTAAGCAGGGTGCAATTCCCCACTTGGACATCTGTGTATCCTCCTCCGATATGATACCAAGGCCCTGATCCTGTAGTCAACTCCATACAGGGCCCTGTGCACGTGTGGCGCCTCATTGCAGAAACAGGGCCTAAGTTTCCAAGCCTGGGTGATGGGGAAGATAGGAAAATTTCCAACAGTGATAGAGAGAGGGAGGACTTAGGGTGGGGGGAGGTGAGTTTAGTTTAGCCTTACGCTTGAGTTGGATTTGGCTCAGTGACTTTTAGTTGAGTTAAATTGCTTTATAAACCTACTGGGTGCTTTGCAGAGCTGACATCTGTTCATCCCACAATGGCCTGCCATAAATCTGTCTCTGAAAAACTGAGTGGTTTAATTGGGAAGAGTTGGAGACAGCTTTATGAGTGACAAATGCCTGGGATGGAGCAGCACCTTCAGTGGTGCTCATTGTTTTTGTTGCCACAATCACTCTTTTCATTTTTAAATTTAATTTGAATGCCAGAGAATCCAAACTAGAATAATCTTGTCGGGCAAAATTCCTTGGTCTTTAGCTGTTGAAATATCTGATATCAGGTGAATCCAGGACTTAGGAGAAAGGGAAGGAAACTTTTTTTGTTTGTAAGGTCAAAAATATAAACAAATGGCTACATTTCCTAATATATAGAGAGATATCTAACACTTTAGACCAGAATTTCCAAAGGAGCCTAAAGCACGCAGTGGATTTGCCATCACTTGAAGTCTTTAAATCAAGACTGGATCTCTTTTAAAAAGATATGTTATAGTTCAAAGCATGATTATTGGGCTGGATGCCAAAACTGTTGGCTGGGGTTCTTTGGCCTGTGTTATGCATATACTTGGCAGAGTTAGATTTTAATTTTTTAAAATTATTTTGACAGGTATATAGATGTTTGTTTGTGGGAAATTATGGAATTGGGTAGACAATCATTTAATGAAAGTAGACATTGAGAGTCAAAAAAGTTAAAACTTTATAAACAAAGCACAAATTGTCAACATCACACATTAAAATATACCAAGTAAATACAGTATCCTTAAATCAACATATCATACTTGTTTTTAATGTTCATTTGCTAGTCCATTTGTAATAAGTCCAAAGTCAAAATTACTGAATTTTGACTCTAATAAGTTCTCAAGCAGCATTTTTCTTTGCCTATCTGTAAATTTTGATTGTCATGGATAGAAATATTTTTTCATTGGTTTGTGTATGTATTGTGAAATCAATGTTTACTGACATTTAGCAATAAAAATATTATCCTTTGAAGCCTAGTTATGCTGGAGGTCAGGCTAGATTATAATAATGTCCTTTCAGGCCGTGGAATCTTTGAATCTGTCAAGGCTATAAATACAAATTTCACTGGAAGTTGGGTGCCTACCACCCTCAGACCCCTTTAAAAAAAATCCTGCCTTCTCTTTTAAAACTCAGTGTATAAAATATATTAAATACCCTCTTGCAACACCACTTGTTATGTAGGTAAGATTAGCGAGCCATAAAACTCTGAACTATTGTTACAAAGATACAGCTGGCGAGGGGAGGGGTGCACGCATGAGTGTGCACGTGTACTGCCCTCTACTGGTTGGAACTGAAACTTCACAACTGTGTCATAGGCCCTGAATCACTAAAAATGATAGGAGAGTCTACTTTTTCTTCAAGTGTTTTGGGAACCAGAAGCATCTAAGTTCTTTCTCTGCTGTTACCAGGAAGTGCTGAGTGGTGGTAAGGTGTGGCATAGAGACAGTTGTGAAGTCTTAGGTATCTATGGATCTGTTGCAGTGTCATAATGGGTAGAGAAGAGCAGGGCACAAGAGCAAACACTGGGAAGTGGATGCTTCTCATGGAGGAACTTAGTATTTTTACTCAGAAAGCAAAGAATAGGTGATTGCCCCCATTTTGGTCATCTCTCCACTCTGGCAAAGGTTTCAGAGCTAGGAATGAAGAGTTAACAGGATTTGGCAACAGTCTAGATTGTGGGAGATGGAGAGAGAGGAGTCTAACATGCCAAGTTTGCATGCTTGGGTGATGTGCAGGGCAGAGAGATTTCCAGAAGTGACAGAGAGGGGTGGGCTTGGGGAGGTTAGCTTTCACCACGTTGAATTTGAGCTGGCAGCAGGACGCACAGGAAGAAATGTGAAGGAAGAGCACTGGGGATGAGACTCTGTCTAGGAGAGGAAAAGGCTTGTGGTAGAGCACAGAAATAGTAATAGAAGTCATGAGAACTAGTGTGCGTCCCCCCCCCCAGCAACAAGGTAGGAAGAAAGGAGGGAGGGGACTAGAGACAGAACCCCAGGAGCACTAGCGATATTCTTTGGAGTTTAATGTATTGATCTGGGATTTTAAACCTACAACCTACATGTACAGTGTAAGGCAAAACCTCCCCCTATCCTCCCAAACAATCCCCTAAAACATGTAATGAGAACTTTGCTTAATTAAATTGGGATTGGGCTTTTATTTAAGGAAAATCAGCCCCCTGCCCCATAACTAGTGTTGAAGCCACATTTGCTTTGTAATGTATCAAGTAAGGGTACGTCTTCACTACCCGCCGTAGGTAGCAATCGATTTATCTGGGATCGATATATCGCGTCTCGTTAAGACGCGATATATCGATCTCCGAGTGCGCTCACCGTCGACTCCGGAACTCCACCAGAGGGAGCAGCAGTAGCGCAGTCGACGGGGGAGCCGCGGCCGTCTATCCCGCGCCGTGTGGATCCCAGGTAATTCGATCCAAGATACTTCGACTTCAGCTACGCTATTCGCGTAGCTGAAGTTGCATATCTTAGATCGATCTCCCCCCCCAGTGTAGACCAGTCCTTAGTGTCTGATTTCACCCCCAACCCATTTTTTAGGCTTAAAAGTGTGTTAGTGTTCACTTCCGAATGATGACAGAACTGTAGGATCCTCCTACCACTTGAACCGCTTTTACGTTGAGCCCATGTTCCTATCACAGATGGCTTGCTGAAGAATGTTAGGTGCTTTCCAACCCGCTCTCCAAGAGGTGTGCCACATTGCTGGCATTCTTCTTCTGTTGCCTAGTGCTAAGATAAGTAGCATCGGTATTGTTGGGCCTGCTGATGACTCCATACCACTAGATTTCAGCAGAGGCTCAGGGTCGAGAAAATCTGTTCTGTGTGTACTTCTTGTTTTCAAGCTTTCAAGCAACAGATTGCCTGCTCCAGTGCTGGGAGCTAACACTAACTTAATTAACATCACAGCATTGTTTTTGTTTTATAAACACAGCCATTCTAATTGGACGGAAGTGTGGGTAGGAGAGCCCCTTCTAATTGCTGGTTAGGAACATATTGGGAAAACCGCAGAGGCGGGGACCTAACGAAAGTTGAGTTGCCTGTTGCTGTGTTCAGTGATGTCTGCTGGCTGCTCAGATTTCTAATAGTACTTGGCACTTTACATATTGCCTCTTTATCTTCAGAACACTTTCAGCACCTGCACCCTCTGAAGCAGGCAAGTGGGATTAGACGGGTAAACTGAGGCAGACAAGTTCAGTGCCTTGCCCACAGTGGCAGAGGAAGCCAATGCCAGAGCTGAGATTAGAACCAGCTTCCAACCCTATGGTCCAGTCACTGCAGCTTTACAGCTTATTCTGTTTTATATGTCCCCCATTACTGTAGTGTCTGAGCGCCTTTCATGTGTATTTAATAGAACACCTTTTAATGTATTCGTCCTCACAACATCTCTGTGAGGGAGGGCAGTGCTACCCACCCCATTTACAGATGGAAAACTGAGTCATAGAGAAACTCAGCGACTTGCCCATTATCAAGCAGGAAGTCTGTGGCAGTGCAGGGAATTTTAACCCAGGTCTCCAGTGCTTAGTTTGTGCCACAGCTTGCCAGGGCTGAGCCCTGGCATCTCTAGGCTTGGCAGTTCATAGCCTCGGCACCTCTGGCCTTGGTGCATAAGTTATGAATATAAAAACGTTGCTTGAGCCCCGGCACCTCTTAAATTACAAATTAAGCCTGCAGGTCTCCCAAGTCCAAGACTGGTGCCCTGACCACTTGCCCATCCTTCCTCTCTTTTAGCATGGTTACAATGATAAAAAATTTGCATCTCTGCA